CGGAACAAAGAGCCGTGCTGGCAATGCGGGCGGTGAGACCAGATGAAAATGTTTTTGCAGTTAACAAGTCTTACAGCAACAAAAACTGGTACGAAGATAGTGTTATATGGTTAGGTTACTCACGTATATTTTATAATTAAAAAAGTGGTCTTTACTGTTTAAAGCCACATACCAGACCACACTGCCACACCATTCTGAATTTAATGGCTACGTATATGTTTATTACAACTATTATATGAGTGCTATATATTGATTTAACTGAATTAGTGAACATATTTATACCTGGTGTTCTGCCGGCAGGTGGAGTTGACCTTATAAGAACATTTTATTTAATCGTTGTTAACCGTTTATTTTATTACTTTAACATTTCACTAAATTAACAATATATTTTCAAGTTGAAGCCATTAATGAATTTTTATATACTATATAAAAAAATTAAACACAAATTAGAGAAAGTAATAAAAATAAGCTGTAAGAGATATTTAGATATATGAAAACTCTTTAATATTAAGAATTTTAAAAAATTATTCTACAAACAGGATAATATTGAAATTCAACAATTAAAAAATAAAAATATAACTAATTAATTCAATTATTCTACAGCTGGTTTACGATTTCGTTCTAATATAAACACAGCAAATAAATTTGTGAATAAAACTTTCATAGCAAAATAACAAAACTCCAGAAAAATTAACGAACATAAAAAGTCAAGTACGGCTTTGGGTCAGATGGTTAAGGTGCGTTGATTCTAAGCTTCACATTTGGCAGGACCCGAGTTCGATTCCTGGTACTTGCAGTCTCAAAAACAATTATTTACAAATAATTAAATACAAGAATTATTTCCAAGACCACTGATAATGGGTATTTAGCAATACTCGAAACAGCTGTATGGTCAGCCAAAAATTCAATTAATTAAAATAATATAAAATAAATTTTTGTTGTTGTAGTTCACACTGTTCGAAAAAATCTCTATAAAATTATTCTTTATATTATTATATTATATTATACTATTATAGTATACTATTATAGTATATTATTCTTTATACTTTATAATTTTGTTTATCTAGGATTAAATTGGCTATTTTAATATTTTGATTGGTTGGTTGTAGTGGCGATAAAGCTACTTTTTCTAACCAAGTAGATTATAGGCACCGGTTGGTTACCACCACTTAAAGTCAATGTACGCTTTTCATAAAAAAAAGATTATATTTTGGGGAACCTATGTTTCGGGTGTCCACCAGACTTTTTAGTTTGTGCGCTTTCATAGTGACATGTCTCAATTTTACCAGGTATGGGCACTTGTAAAAACAGCGTTCAGGTAATTATCTTTCCTATTATTCTCTACAAGTCCAGTATATCTAGTTGTGTGAAATACACACTGTCTAATGAGTGCCTACTAGAATCGCGTTGAGAGTTTCCGTCTCAACTTTGGTTATGTTCAAGACTTAAGATCTTATCTACGTTAAGTATTTTTTATTTTATTTTATATTATTTTATTATTTTATTTTATTAAGATAAGATACTGTTAAGTATTTTATTATTTTATTTTATATTATTTTATTTAATATTGATTTATTTTATTTTAGTAAGATACTATGTTAGATACTAAGATACTATGTTAAGAATTTTCTTATTTCACTTTACATTATTTTATTTCATTAAGATAAGATACTATGTTAAGTATTTTATTATTTTATTTTATATTATTTTATTTAATATTGATTTATTATTTTATTTTAGTAAGATAAGATACTATGTTAAGCATTTTAATATTTTATTTTACATTCTTTTATTATTTTATTTTATATTATTTTATTTAATATTGATTTATTTTATTTTATATGTAAGGCATTTTCTTATTTTACCTTTACCGGCTATTATTAATTATGTTTTTCATTAGATAAGACTTGGTACTTTTGATAACGGTCATTTTATTGTTTTATATTTTGCGATATCTGTTTTATATATCTTTACTTTTATAAGAGTAAGGCCTAGTTAAAGTATTTTATTATTTTATTTTATATTATTTTTTTTACATTCTTTTATTATTTTATTTTATTAAAATGAGATACTATGTTAAGTATTTTATTATATTATTTTATATTATTTTATTTTACATTCTTTCATTATTTTATTTTATTAAGATTAGATACTATGTTTTTTTCATGAGAAATAAAATAATAAAAAAATATATTTTTATATGCTTATCACAGAAAATTAAGTGATATAGACTTTAAGAAACTATGGACCTTCCTTTTTGATCTAATATTAATATAACATAAGTGGAGTAAGTTTTTAAATCAATTTATTCATATAAACTGTATACAAAATAATTTTATCATATAACTGAGTATTTTGTAAAGCAATCAAAAGTTTTTTGAATGAAGTTGTCAATTTCTGATGGATTTCAGATCAGGTGCACATATTTGCATAAAATTATAAAGCAACGACCACAGTGCTGCATATTTATGAACTGGTGGATTTACTTGGGAATGCAGCCACTTAAAGATACAATCACAAATCACACATTACAATGCAGTAAACTTATTTAAAAACAAAAGAATTAAATTTTAATGAAAAATAAAAAAAAATTAAATTAAATATTTAAAAGAAATAAATACCAAAAGTCTGAACTGCAATGCAACATGTCGCATTTGAAATGCAATTTGCAAATGCATTTGTTGTCAACACGAGCCGCCAAACGCAGCTACAACGGCAACCTCAATAAGGAAGCTACCGCAACTGCAGTTTTATTTCATCTTGATTTTTTTTTATATTTTTTTACGAGTATTTACTTTTATTTAGTTTTGTTTACTTTAAAGAAGATCGTAAAACTTAAGTAGTTTCATACATCAACGGTGATCCTTATCAGTGCGCCGTTGTGCTGAAGTTTATGTTGTTGGCAATTGACTGTTGCCAATTTTTTTGCAATGCTTTTTTGTTGCAAA